CTTAGTACACACACACACACACACACACACACACACACACACACACACACACGTCGTCTTTATTTATGGTTTTCATGACGTGTTTCTTGTAAGCGTCAACCTGCTGCCTTGAATTGCAGGTGACTCTTATTTGTTTGCAAGAGTTACACTATGTTTTTACTTGTTACGTTGTGCTTGTTCTTGGTTGTCACGCGGTGTGTTTTTTGTCAGTTTACGCCACATGGTGTTTGAACAATGTCACGTTCATGTAAGTGCCACAATATGTTCGCGATTTGGTGTTGTGTGTTTGTTATGGGTGTCACTGTGTCTGTCACCATGACTACTGATGGCGGCACACTTATTTTTTGGTGTTTGTGAAAATGTGTATTCGTGTATGTATGTCTTGCAGTGTACAGTATATGCGTACTTACACTGTATACCTGACGATTACCTGTAGCAGAATCCTGAGCTCTTGTGTACTGTTACGTAACGTCAGTAATTTAGGTACAGTTCTCTAATCACTGTGTCAGCAAAAGTACTTTAACCAGTGTTTTGAATATGTAATGTTAACGAATGTTTTCAATAATGATGTCAAATGTTACGGTATAATATTAATAAGTATTTAAAAACCCCTCTGACCCATGTTAAGAATAAAAGCATTAACTAATAATCTATATACAAACATACGTATATATGCATAGAGGTCTACACACATACATAACTGTACATAATACATACAAACATAACATACCCACAGGCCGCAGAATCCTACCTACACACACAAAAGCCTACATATCATTACTACTCACACACACACACACACACTAACGCACCCGAACTCAACACACCTGGTAAGAATAGCTTCAGGTGTGTACGCGCACAGAGCATCTCCAGCAGAGGCGGACCTAACCCACCACACGGGGGAGTCACAGTTCATATTTCTAAGAGAGCTCAACTCGACAAACCGGCCGCGCATGCTACAGGACCTTGCAATTTTCTCAATAAACTTGTTTTGTCTGCATGATGAAGGCAAAATTAACGAGGGGTCGCGGTCTGCTGTCTGCAACAAATGCGCTTTTCTATTCATTGTTGTTGCAAAGTTGCAATAGGATGTTCCTTGGGGTAATTTTAGGTTGCAAGACGTTGTTCCGAGTAATTTTAGTACAATTACAGTACATATGAGGGTACAGTACCGTGTCCTAGTTAGTTTACATTACATCAACAGTCCATCACAGGCTGTACTACCACGTCCTAGTTACCGGTAGTTTACATTACAGTAAGAATACATAAGAATCATCAGTATCGTGTCTCAGTTAGTACAACAACAATACATAACAAGATGCAATACGATTTCCGTGGCCACTTTAGCACAGTATGACCCCAGTAACTGAAGGTCCCATTCCGCCTACACGTGTCATTATCTAATATGCAGTAACTCCAGGACTCAAACACACTTTAATACTTTACAACAACAGCCCTCGCCGCGTTCCTCTGAGTGAGGCTCATTATTAACGAGAATTATTCTATTTACTGGATGATAACACACTTAGAGCCTCTTACTTAAGTCATTGTTCAAGAATGAATATTATCACCACTGTAAATTAAACTATTAATGCCTTACAACACATAGTTATTTCTATTATCTAATTTATAACTATATAAATGAGTTCCCTTATTCATGTAAATTATATAACTTAATTATATAATCAGCTACCATATAACTCATTAAAAAGGTAATAAGTTCTGATATAAGAGAACATTGTCTATATATGTTTTATATGTGTCTATATAATTATCCACCATCCTATCGTCTCCTGATTGCCGTGTTGTTCGTACATAATTGCCCTGGGTATCTCAGCCCACCATAGCCACTAATCTACCTAATAAAACCAAGGTCACCATAAATAAAGCAATTAGGACCTACTGGCCATAAAACAGGAGCGGTGACTCTTACACTCTCACCACAACCACACGACCACTACCACCATACACCATAATATTATCACCACCACCATCATACACCATACTAACATTAATATCACCGTCACCACATTAACGCTACCATACACCATAATACTACTACCATATACCACCCTACACCATACGAATACTACTACTACCACCATCAAAAACACATCATATTACCACACACACACACACACACACAGTACGATACTACTTCTTGCACTGTCACTATGTTGAAATGCCCTGTAGTTTGAGCTTTTCCCCACCTAGTTATTATAGATCTTATTTGTATCACTTATGTTACTTGTATATTATTTGTAATTCGAAACCCATTCCCCAAATATGTAACTGTATATTTTCAGCCTTCTGGCTGCCAAGCTCTTTCAATAAACCGTTAATTATTATTATTATTATTACTTAATACAAATATCAAAACTTATTCCATTGACTTCATTAACATATTTCACCCCACACCACCATCATCATTATCATCATCATTCTTCACACCCTATCGTACGAAAATAATTATATTACCATTATAGTCACACAATGAACGAATACCTAACCTAACCAAACCTACCATGTATAACATCACTACTAACTGTTATTCATCATCTTTAATTACATTATCTAATTAATTTTCTTCTCAATTTATTAACATAACTTTCTATGCATCCCATTTAGGTCTCCACTATGTCACTCCCTTCCCTAAATCGCCGCTGAATTAACAAGAGAATTTCAACATTGCTCTAACCTTGAACAAAGACTTGTGCTTGGTGGGGTATATTCCGAGTTCACGTCTATATCTCCCCCAACAGGAAAGAGAGAGAGAGAGAGAGAGAGAGAGAGAGAGAGAGAGAGAGAGAGAGAGAGAGAGAGAGAGAGAGAGAGAGAGAGAGAGAGAGAGCACCTAACTATGTGTTTTACGCCTAGGTACTTACAGCTGTTTTCACGTCACAGTTGATTGACTCTATAAGTCTATTTCCACCTCAAACAATATTGGTGGATTTTTTTTTAACTTTATCAATGGATTTCTGTAATTCTATTGGTGGATTTTTCTATAACTATAAATGGATTTTCTATAACTATGGTGAATTTCATGGAACACTATTGGCCGATTTCATGCAACACTAATGGTCGATTTCTTGCAACACTATTGGTCGATTTCATGCAACACTATTGGTCGCTTTCCTGCAGCACTATTGGCCAATTTCCTGCAACACTATTGGCCAATTTATTGCAACAATATTGGCCGATTTCCTGCAACACTATTGGTCGATTTCTTGCAACATTATTGCCCGATTTCCTGCAATACTATTGGCCAATTTCTTGCAACACTATTGGCCGATTTCCTGCAACACTATTGGCCAATTTCCCGTCACACTATTGGTCGATTTCTTGCAACACTATTTGCCAATTTCATGCAACACTATTGGTCAATTTCCTGCAACACTATTAGCTGATTTTCTGTACCTCTAATAGTAAGTAACTTTTCTATTAAGCTACTGAGTGAAATTCATGATTAAAAAAAATAAAAAAAGTTCTCTCCATTTCTCCCTTTAAATTTCAAGTTTCCAATGGACTCACAGGGTCACACTTGGCTGGACACTCCATCTAACCACACACACACTAGAAGAATTTCACACGTCGGTATAAAACATCACATTTAAAACACCGTATAAAAACACTCCGGTGGAAAACACACAAAAAATATATAAATAAAATAATAAAATACTTGAACGACTTGAACGACCGACATAACAGCAGCGGCTTCAGTAATAGTTCACTTTAGGGGATAATTTAGTCAAAGGGGGGAGAGGGAAGGGGAGGACGGAAGGGAGGGGAGAGGGAGGAGGGAAGGGGAGGGAGTCGCTATAATGTACAACACAACACAGGAATTTCTTCTTCTTTTTTTAACTCTCACTCTCTCTCTATACGTATTTGGTTTATTTTTATTAGTTTAGTTTCTTCTTTCAGGTTTATTTTCTGTTTTCGTTTCATTTTTTTGTATTTCATTTTTGTTTGAGTTTAATTTTTGTATTCATTTTTTTTTTCAGTTTCCCTTTCCGGGGATTTACACACACACACACACATACACACACACACACACACACACACACACACACACACACACACACACACACACACACACACACACATACACACACACACACACACACACACACACTTGGAAACCCCGAAAAGGAACTCGCCGACACTGAGCGCCAGTCAGCGTTTATTCACAACTCTCATTAAACTCACATAAAGTCCATTTTCAGAGCACAAGTTTTCCCCAAGCTTGTGAGGAGTCGGTCTTCCATATCTCCTCCTCCTCTCTAATAGCATCCTCCTCCTCCTCGAACATCCTCCTCCTCTTCCTTCAACACCATCCTCCTCATCCTCTTCCTCCTCGAACATCCACCTCCTCTTCCTTCAACACCATCCTCCTCATCCTCGAGCATCCTCCTCCTCTTCCTTCAACACCATCCTCCTCCTCCTCCTCGAACATCCACCTCCTCTTCCTTCTACACCATCCTCCTCCTCCTCCAACACCATCTTCTTCCTCCTCCAACACTAACCTCCTCCTCTTCCAACACACTCCTCCACCACCATTCCCTTCCTCCAACACCATCATCCCCTCCTCGTCTTCATACCCCTCCAACACACACACACACACACACACACACACACACACACACATAACTCAAGATAAAGTAAAACAACTTTTTCTAAGTTACAATGATACTTATGGCTACACTTAAGACACCACCACTTAACTAATGGCACTTGGCACCACACGGTAAACACTGTGTACGTGTTCATTACTGTTCAATTTATATTTGTTCATTACGTTTAAATTTGTATTTGTTCAAAATTCAATCTGTACTTGATCATTATGCCCCAAGCTGTACTTTTTTCATTATGCCCCAAGCTGTACTTTTTTCATTATAAATCACACTGTACTTGTCCATCATACTTCACTGTACACTGTAAACACACCACACTACCGAGTACACTCAGAGATACGGATTAATTCCCAAAGGATCATACGGTACCTAAGATAAGGCTCCGCTACGTTAACGGGTCCGGATAATGATCCTCCGGTACACTGGATCACAACGCTGCTGCTACTGGGTGGTGACAGGGTCCTTCGCGGCGCGGCAAACGGGCAACCCTCGACACTATCACCCCACCCCTCCACCCAGGCAGTGTTTAAAAGCCAACTTGCTCACCGCGGGGCCGGAGCACCAACGCGCACACACCCGCGCACCACGCTGGTTGGTTACTGACTGATATAACTCGTTGTTGTCTGGGCTACAACCGAGACACGCCTGCGCAAAGGAAACGCGCTACGAGCCACTGTCTGCGCAGGCAAGACATAGTTGCATGAAGCTCTTCGAGACATGTCCTGATGTCCTTGTCCTCGAGGGTGTTCTTGTGGCCTTGATTGAAAAAAAAAATCCATGTCCTTGTCCTTGAGTGCATAACTTCCGGTTTTAAAGTGACTTGCGCATTCACCGTCGTCTGTATTTTGAGTGTATTTTTGTAGACGCGTCTGTGAGTGTCTTATTATGTCTTCCAATTGGTTAAGTGACGATGGCTATGGTTCGTGGTTCTTTCTGTTGATACGTCTGTGGTTCTGTATTCGTGATTCTGTGGTAGCATGTACTGTACGTGGTTCTCTTTTCAGTGTCCTTGGTTCTGTTGATATGTCCGTGGTTCTCTTCTCAAGTTAAGTACACCTCTGTTGGTTTATCCTTAGTAGCGTCTTGCCTCAGATTTCTCGATTCCTTTGGGGTCCATTGTGGTCTGAGTTGAGTGCATCTCTGCTGGCGCGTCCTTAAGTGCATAACTCCGATATACTGTAACAGGTTGTTTGCCTCTTATTATACTGTAGTGTATGATTCCCTGCTTGAGTGCATTCCTGTCGTCTAAACCCATCTGTTTGCGTGCTCGTGGATCCCTATTTGAGTGCACAGTCGCGAACAAAAGTCCTATCGCCTCTCCTGCTACTCCATGAACCCCGAAACTCAGACTATTGAACCCGAAACAGTAGACACCAACGCTATATTCTGTCCATAAATGCTTCGGGTTCACGAGTCTGAATCTCGGGGTTCGTGGGACAGCAGGAGTGGCGACAGGACTTATGACTGTGACTCCATCTTTAAAAATCATGTTCTCGTTAATTACAGTGAGTCATTTTTCTCCTTAGAGTGAGTTTCTTTTCTCCCCTACACTTCTTTTCCCCCTAGCGTCCCCCCCCCACCCCTACAATTTTTTCCTGCTCTAGAGTCGTTTCTTACCCTATAAATATTTTGATAGATATATATTCAATAACAACGCCATACAAGTTTACAATTGGTCCAGCATGAGCAAGACAGTACAGGTATACATTTCAATATGCATACAGATAACGCAGGTATACAGTATACTTTGACAGTGCCGGTATAGAATTTCCAGGGTACCTCTAGTCTAGACAGTGCAGGTATACAAACAACGGTAAACAGAAAAGTAATTCGACCGAGGATCTTTGTAATTATGTTCAATACTAATTACTGAACCTGTTTTTCTTCTCATTATCGTCATTATTTCTTATTTATTCAATGTGAGTTGCAATGGATTGTTGCTAAGTCAAGACCACCTCTCTCTCTCTCTCTCTCTCTCTCTCTCTCTCTCTCTCTTCTCTACTACATGAACAAACAACAACAGCATAAACTGAAGTCATTCACCTTTTTATATATCCTAACCTAACCTAACCTGTAATTTCATAATCAAAGGCCGACAACTGCCTCACCCCTCAAGTAATGCTGGAAGCCGCTGATACTTCACATCATGCCAAGTCTTAGTGATAGTTCGATAACAAATGCAGTTAAGAGTTTAATGACAAGTGCTTGTTGCGGACGGAAACCGCTGCAATATGTTCCCGTTATACAAGTCGATGGGAATAGAATAAAATAGACCTTAAAATAAAAGTCTGAGTCGAAAAGCAATTCCATTGGGAGTATTTTTTCTTGCTTTTCTTTTTTCACTCACACACACACACACACACACACACACACACACACACACACACACACACACACACACACACACACACACAACATTCCTCACAGGTAGTGGGTGCACCCCGGCATGCAGGCGTCTTTGCCATGCACTACACACATGCATATCAAAGACGCCCCATTAATTAAGAGGCAATGATTTGAATGCTTATGGCGTCGCATCTACCTTGTATCAACTACCAATTAGCTCTAAGTGTAGTTTTTAAAGCGTATGGCGAGACTACACCCTTAAGCCAACTAAGGTATGTATAAAGCGGTGTGTTGAAACCTCCCAGTCACACACACACACACACACACACACACACACACACACACACACGTACATTTAGAACCCTCCCCCCAAAAATGCATGGAAAAAAAATCCTCAGGTGACACAGTTCCATATTCACAGGAAGCACGACAGGTGACCAGCAGGTGGGGTGGGAACTGCGAATTTAATGAATAACCCGAAAAGTGACGACGCTGATTTCGAATTTAAAAGTCAAAATGGGTGTTCGGCTGTTGTGTACTAATGCTCCTGTACAGCGCCTTTTATCTAAAAACAAGAGAAAAAGAAAAAAGTTAAAAAAATAATGTTATTTCCAGAGTTTTCAGGGTAATGTAATACTCTTGGCGGTGAGTAATACAGTACCACATTGTATATTATGGGTAGAAATTATCAAAAAATATACATTATGTTTTAGTTCTTATATGTTAAGAGTGAGTTAGTGAGTGAGTGAGTGAGTGAGTGAGTAAAAATATATATAGAAAGAGATAATACCTATGGGTTACACACTATAGTAATGTGATAATAAACAATGGGCCGTGGCCTCCGCGGATTTGGCGATCGGAAATGATACAGCTTATACTGCACTTCATAGCGATGTAAAACAGTATTATCATTTAAATATTACGTATTTATGCCTATACTCCTTTACCTGATATATATGCAAACAAAAAACATACATACATACATACATAGGCGATACCTAGGCGTTTTTGTTTAAGGTGTAGAAGCTGTAGCCAACACAACAACTACACCCTGAGTTAACGTGTTGCATGAATCAGTGTCAAGGCATAGTCCGAGAAGACCGGACAACTCGCCAACTGCACTGGCTAACTATTACCCCGGAACACGATCCCCAAATCGATTAACATCCAGGTCCCCAATTACTGCTGGGTAGACAGAGGCAAATGGCATAAAGAAACTTGCCCAAAGTTTCACCCTGCCCGGGGAGAGAACCCGGGTCCGCTTGCTTACGAGGCGAGCATGCTGACCATTACACCACAGGTCGCTATACATACATACATACATACATACATACATACACACATACATACATACATACATACATACATACATACATACATACATACATACATACCAAAATAACACAGGTGGTCAGGTTTCTTATTGAAAGCCAGAGTGAATATTAATGTAGTCCATAAATATTAGTTTATTAAAAATTAAAACATATACCACCAATATTGCATCATGTGTGTGGTGAGATGGGGCCCAGGAGGTGACATGACTCCCTCTACACTAACTTTTTTCCTCTCTTATCCTCTTCCTAAACTTCCTTTATTCGGTGTTTTAGGTCAGTTTGATGACCTTTTTCTGTGATTACATTAAATGACCTTGGGAAAACTGAACGGTTTAGGTTCAAGGTCAAAGGTCATAAACCCTGGAACTTGTTTTCCTGCATCTCTAATATTTTTCGTTGTAAAGAAATAAGATACGTCGTGAATGAAGACGTTAATATTTACCGTAAAAAATGTCTTAACTACGATGAATAGAACCTGAGTGATGACCACCTGAGAAGGTTCTTAGGTCGTGGATTATGTCACATGTTCTGGAGGTTATATTCCAGGACGCAGGTGACCGTGCACCGAAAAATTTGACTGGAGTCAATATTTGGGAAAACTCAACCAACCTGAGAAGTTTGGTCAAAACCCGTCAGGAGGAGGAGTTACGGCCGTGGGCTGTTTACACATGACGTGAGTGTCACACATGTTGATGTTTACACACTTCTAGTTAATTTGTAAACAAAAATTTTCAATGTTTATGGAAATTCTTAATACATTTCTAATGGCGATTTTAATTATTTCCAATTTCCTTACAACAATATATATATATATATATATATATATATATATATATATATATATATATATATATATATATATATATATATATATATATATATATATATATATATATATATATATATATATAATGATCCTATCTCTCCTCCTGTGGAAGATCCAATGAATTGGTAATGAAAACTCTCTCAGACGCCTGAGAGCCTCTGCAGGGGTGCTGATGTAAAGGTTCACTGAGGCAGCCTCCCAGTGGGAAACATTCACATCCCCAACAGCCGAAGTAGTACCCCCCAAAGGTCCACAAACAAGCCTACTGGGACAAGACCATCTTGAAGAAGATTGCTTCATCCATACTTAAGGGAGTATCCTCCACGGTGAAGACAGCCGCTTGTGAGCTGTGGGAGCTCCTCCTGCTGGGGACTTATTACTGGTTACCACAAGTGGTTCCTTAAGACCTCGCTTCAACCCACAGTCCCTCCTTATTAGGAAAATCCTTTGTCTCGATTCCCCTAACAACAGTGATTACAAATGTGTCTGTTGCAATACGATCGCAGATCAATACAGTCACCACACCCTAAACTGTGAATCCTACGGAGGTTAGCTTGTAAGAAACAATGAAGTTAATGATTTCAAACTGGTAAGAATTAGGACACGGTCACAATTTTTCCTTGGCAAAATGGCAAACAGCTAATGTGGTGCTTCCTACCCTTTCTATACAGCAGACAAGGAAGGTGTGGCTAGGTTCAATGACTCCCAGGAGAACCAGACATATAATGTTCTTGCTCAAGGCTACTGTTTCGTTCCGATAGGCTCAGAGACTCATGAGTCCTGGACAGACAGTATGATTAAGGCTGTGTATTATTTGGACACCAAATTCATTGAAGCCATCAAAGACATGAGTGCATCAGCTCCCTGTTCCTGTAACTCAACATAGTGACCGTGATAGGCAATACTTAGTCAATGTTTGGCTTCCATCCTAATCGTGAGGAGCCCAGAAGAACCATGTTTTGTAAGTATTGCTTTTGAAGAAAATTAAAATAAAACATAACAAAGGATAATGGGATAAGATAATATAGAGATGC